CTTGAAAACATTCTGAGTGGCATTCTGTCAGTTCAGGCAGCCTTGTTTTTACAAGTGCCTTCAGTGCCTCTCGGACTTCTCAGTCGGATGGTCAGTCGCTGACCCTGTCCTTCCTGAAATGACTGAAGAGTCAGCAGTAGATGTGGTTATCATGACTCTGTGTACCTTCCACCTTCCCCTAAGACTTCCTGCATCACTCAGTATTTTGCCCCTGGAACCTTCCAATATTGAAATGTGAGGCTTGGACAGTTTTCTTCAGTTCCTTCAGCTCGAGAAATGCCACGTGTGTTCTTCCCTGGTTGTTTTCTAGCTCCAGGTCTTTGTACGTTTCATTATACTATTTGACTGTGTCTTCTTGAGCGACCCTCTGAAGTCTCCAGCTCTGCTCTTCTATCTCTTCATTTCCTCACATCCTAGGCTTATTCACGAGTTGAAATGCTCTGGTAACAGTCACCTATGAACCACACAGTCACATGGTCTAAGAAATGGGAGAGGAACAGCATCACATTAGTCATCAGAGTCGATTTCAAGATCTGGCCTGGGACTGAAGGTTCTCAGCAACAGGATAATACCCACATGCCTACAAGGACAAGCAGTTAATACAACTACTATTCAAGTTTATGAAACAACCACATCTTGACTAGAATGATTTTCTCCGCAAATATATGTAGGTAATGAAATTATGTAACGATCCCTAATGATCCCACATGTCAAGCAGTTGGAAAATGAAGAAAGGTGGGGTGCAAACTCCCGAATCCCATCACAAGGCCTGGGTTTCCCTGGGCTGTGGTCCATAAGACCTTTTCTTTCATAAAGGAGAAGTAGGGAAGAAAGGGAAGTAGGAAAGCTCAGTGCAAGCAAGAACGAAGACCAGGCATGGAGCGTATCCTCTCCACCTGGACCCTGCTCCTGGGAAACTACCAGCACAGCAGAGGCCGAGACGCGTGGAGCCGTCCGAGGACCAGCAGACCTGTAGGCGCTGATGGAGCCAAGACGCGTGGAGCCGTCTGAGGACCAGCAGACCTACAGATGCTGATGGACCCTCCTCTGGAGCAACACACAGGAAGCTTTCCTCTAGAGCTGGGACCCCTTAAATGGTGAGAGACTCATCTCCAGGTGTTAAAGCCCTTCTTTTGTGGTATCTCTGCTGCAGTAGCTCTAGAGAACTAGTACTACAAAAAGCTGAAGATATTGAAGATTTTACCAACTTCTGCGCAGCCTGAAATTGATCAAGCCTGTAATCAAGACATATTGATCATTATTGGTGACTGGAATGTGAAAGTTGGAAACAAAGGAGGAGGATTGATCATGGCTGGAACATAAGGTGCTGCTCAAAGGAATGACATTGGACATCACATGCCACAGTTTCACAAGACCAGAGGCTTATTCGTCGCACACAGCATGTTTTTACAATGCAGACGGCAGCCGTGTGCAAGGACCTCAGCAGACAGAACATACATGAATCAAACTACATCTGTGAGCAGGGAAGAGGAAAAGCTCACTGTCTCCGTGTGAACAAGGCGGAGACTGACTGCAGAGCAGACCGTCAGCTGCTCATGTGCACATTCAAGGTGAAGCCGAGAAACATTTAAACAAGTCCACGGAAATCAAAACATGACTTTGGATACCCCGCTTCACTTTAGAGTCCATTTTAAGGACTCGATGCACTGGATGTGACTGATTGAAGGCCAGATGACATCAGGACATCAGACATGAAGAAAACAAAAGGTTATTAAAATGTAAGGAAAGAAAGAGAAACACAAAACAAACATCACAGGAAACTGAAACTTGCCCTTGAAAGCGGAGTGGCTAAACTAAGAAGATTAACCCAGCTTATCCCGAGTGTTCACTGTAATCACAGAGGCCTTCACAGCATCAGAGTGAGAAAGCCTGGTGACCTGACCGACTGGGGAGCTGGCAGGGCCTGAGCTAGGAACGCAGACGGCCACCTTGGAAAGCTGGGAGAGGCAAAGACATGGACCATGGAGGGGCCGGGAAGTCCCCCAACAGACCCTCATCCTATCCCTGAGGCGGGGAGGTCCTGTCCACAGTCACACACTTCTGCTGGGGCAGCAAACATCAGTCAGGGTAGGTGCCCCCTCAATACCATTACCTGTACCTGCTGCTGGCCATTATCTAGTGCTGAGGAGAAATGTTCCAAAAAGCATGCACTGTATGACCTGTCGCATGCAGATGACACAACCTTGCTTGCTGAAAGTGAGGAGAATCTGAAGCATTTGCTGCAGAAGGTCAGGGGCTATAGTTTTCAATATGGATTGAAGCTCAACATCAAGAAGTCAGATTCTCACCACTGGGACAATTGTCAGCACCATGATGGATGGAGAAGAGATTGAGGTTCTTAACTATTACAGCTCGCTCGGCTCCATAATCAACACTCTTGGCACCAACAGTCAGGAAATCAAAAGACAAATTTGCATTGGGAAAATCTGCTGTCAGGGACCTCTCCAGAGTACAGAAAAGCAACAATATTGGTCTAGAGACTAAGGCATGCCTGATCCAGGCCATGGTCTTCACAATTACTTGCTGTGTATCAGAGAGTTGGACAATGACTAAGGATGACAGAAAAGAATCAATGACTTTGAGTTGTGGTGCTGGAGAAGAGTCTTGAACATACCATGGACTGCCAAGAAAACAAATAGTTCTGTCTTGGAGAGGGTGAAACCAAGCTTCTCCTTGGAGGCTAGGATTTTGAAGCTCTGTCTCACATACTTTGAGCACGTTGTTGTCAGAAGGGACCAATCTTTGGGAATAGACATCATGCTGGGACTAGTGGAGGGTCAGAGAAGGAGCTGAGGCTCGTCAACAAGATGGACATGGTGCAACAATGCACGTCAAGCAGTCAGCGCCCTGAGGACGGGGCATGCCAGGCACGGCTCACGTCTGTGGTTCACACGGTCACTGAGAGCTATAAGTGGACTCACGAGCAGCTAACCACAACCACAACCACAACACACACAGAGCTCTGGCGGGGCTGACCCCTGCTGACCTGAAGGTGATGCCTCTCTGCAAGTCCTAAGTCCACTGTGAGGGTCGCTGAAGGACACACAGAGATGGCCACCCAATGCACAGTGGCCTTCAGAGACCCTCACCGTCCACCACAGCTCTGTGGGAGAGACAGTTACAGTCGCCAAAACCATGCTGGAGGTGAAAACCCTACCAGAGGCCAAAACCCCATCAAAGGTCAAATCCCTGTCAGAGACCAAAACCCTGTCGGAGATCAAAACCCTGTCAGAGGCCAAAACCCTGTCGGAGGTCAAAACCCCATCAGAGGCCAAAACCCCATCGGAGGCCAAACCCTGTCAGAGGTCAAAACCCTCTCAGAGGCCAAACTCTGTCGGAGGCCAAAACCCGTCAGAGGCCAAAACCCTGTCGGAGGTCAAAACCCCATCAGAGGCCAAAACTCCATCGGAGGCCAAACCCTGTCAGAGGTCAAAACCCTCTCAGAGGCCAAACCCCTCTTAGAGGCCAAACCCCTCTTAGAGGCCAAAACCTCATCGGAGGCCAAAACCCTGTCAGAGGCCAAAACCCTGTCAGAGGCCAAAACCCCATTGGAGGCCAAACCCTGTCAGAGGCCAAAACCCCATTGGAGGCCAAACCCTGCCAGAGGCCAAAACCCTGTTGGAGGTCTAAACTCTGTTGAAATTAAGCTCTGAATCGATTCTTAGTTCACAGCAAAGCGTTTGAGGTTTTGAGTTTTGTACACGCACACACACATGCACACACACGTATACGTGTTTGGGGACAGCTCTCTGTAGCTGCTGTAAATGTATCTATGAACATACTAGAGCACATCGGGTGGGGATGGTAAAGTTATGAAAATGTCTTCACCACAAACACTCACCCTGAGCTAATGAGTCTTTGGGCTGGGGGCTTAAGACCACAGTCTTGGGGGACATCAAGGTCTACTGACATAACACAGCCCACAAAGACAATGTTCTGCACCCTGCTTTTAAAAGCTTACGAGTGGCTATTAGGGTGTGACTCTTGGTATCTCCCCACTTAGAGCAAAGAAGAGTTAAAAAAACCCCAAAATACTTGACAGCAGTTAGTCCTAAGGCCCAATGGGCCACGGAGCCACAGCCTCCACAACCCTGAGGCCGGAAGGGACAGGTGCTGCCCAGTGATTACGACCAGCCATCTGAAATGCACAGAGTGGGGGAATTGTGAGCAAAACCCAAAATCACAAAGATGACCAAGGTTCCTGGTCTGAGAGAGGCTCTGAGACTATGACCTCAGTGGCCCCTTAAACCAGAGCTGAATCTTAAACCAGGCTCACCTGTCACCCAAACAGTACAAAGTCTGCAAGGTGATCACACCAGGGAGATGCTCGCTGCAAAGAGCAGCCAACCACGCGAGATCAAAGGGTGGCCTTGTCCCTCAGGGGTTGCAGCTCAGGAGGCAGGAAGGGGTAGCAAAGAAGGATGTGGGGAAACGGGAAACACAGGGTGGAAGGGGGACGATGCTGCTGTATGGTGGGGACTGCGACCAATGTCACAAAATGCAATGGGCACCAATGGCTGTTGAAGGGGAAACAAATTTGCTCTGTGACTCATACTGCACCAAAAAACATCCAAAAACCCAGCTACTGAAAACCCGATGGGGCACAGCTGTCCTCAGAAATACACACGTGGGTATTGGCTTTGAGGTACCTGATGGGCCTTGGGGTATTTGTAGGAAGGAGACCAGGAAGACAAGGATCACTTCTCTCGAGTCTCGAGGAGGAGCCTGGCCCCTTCAACTCTCAGACCTCGGCCCAGGGACATCTGTGTTGACATCTCCTTAAAAGTGTGACACCACCCATCAGTCTGGTTTAAGCCACTGAGTCACTCCAGGGGGTCTGCAGGGACATGTACAGCAGCCATAGGAAAAAGCCAATCAGCAACCTGAACACAATTACTTTGCAGCAGGTAAGGCCAACATCAATCCCAACATGCCACAGGGCTCCTCGTCTCAGCTGAGGAAACACAAGTCCCACTCACCTTTTTGTAGGTTTTTTCTTCATTTTGTTTCCCTGGAGCTGCCTCTCTACTCTCAGTAGCAGAAGACATCTAGGAGAGAAAAATGTATCCGTTTACTCCTCTAAACTCTGAGATATAATGTATCTATATGCTAACATTAAGGAAAACATTTATTTTGGTCAGATGAGGTTTTCCTTTTGTTATTATAGCTGTCCCGAAGAAAGGAAGGTATTTTAAAAAGAAGCAGTGTCCCCCAGTCCTTCCAAAATAAAACTTCGCTTCTAGATAATTTCTGTCTCATACATGACTGGAAGATTCTCTATAAACTCACGTCCATATTGTTTGCACACATTTCTTTCTGCAAAGGCACTTTCTGGCTTTTAAAAAATTAAAAAAAAAGTTTCCTTCTAATTAGACATGCTCACTGTTAAAAAAAAAAATCTAGAAAGTACCAAAAACTATGAAGCAGAACAAAAAAAAAAAATCACTTTGAATCCTATTTCCCCAGGGCCATTCCTTTAATTCATATTTGCCACACTTGTTTCTACCTTTTGTTCTGGGTATTTTCAGACTAAATATGATATTATAATACTATTATAACACAATCTCTCGCTCCATTTCTCACGGAACACTTGCAGAGTTAGCATTTTCCCATGAGACTAAGAAAACCCCCTTTGTAAAATGAATTAACTTCCACTTCTGTGAGCCAGCATCATGTGAACGACCCGCAGTGCATGGTAAGCCTCTAGTGGACAATGTTAATTCAGGAGAGCTGGGGTTGTTCAAAGCATTTGCTTCTGCACATCGGGCAGCGATCTTCATTCTGCACTTGTATCTTCATCAAACTTGAACGTTTTCTTAGGCCGGGCTGCGGGCTTAATGGTCATGTTGTAGGTGCTGCTGGGTTGATTTCTCTCTTACGGTGACTCCCACATGACAGGAAGAAGGGAGGAACCCTAGTGATGCAGCAGTCAAGTGCCTGACTCCTAACAGAAACGTCGTTGGTTCTAGCCCCGCAGTGAGTCGCTGGGAGAAAGACCCAGTGATATGCTGGTGTGAAGAGCACAGCCAGGAGGGCCTTCTGGGGCAGCGCTGCTCGGAACCAGCTCGATGGCCTGGGAGCTGACAGCCAGGCCATTCTGGAGCAGAGCACACGGGATGGGTTTGAACCTTAGACCTACAGATTAACAACCTAGCACTTAATCACCTCGCTGTCAGAGCTTCTAGGTCATACTGTTGTTATGGTGTTGTATCGTCGAGTCGGAACCAACCCATAGCTGACACTCTGGCGGGTTTTCAGAGGCAGGTAATGGCATGGAGGACACTGTCCACCCTTTTCCCCTGGAACAGCAGGTGGCCTCAACCCATGTCTTTGGGATTGCAGTGAAGCTTCTCGCCACTAGGCCCACCAGACCACCCTCTAGGTCATACTGTTGTCGTTATGTGCCGTCAGGTCACCTGCGATTCATAGTGACCCTATGTACAACAGCCCTAAACCCTGCTCTGTCCTGTGCCAATCGCACTGCCTCTGACACTCCCATCCCCATTACCCCAGTCACCGAATCAATCCATCTCATAGAGGGTCTTCCCCTCCTGCGCTGTCCCTCCACCCTCCCAAGCATGATGTCCCTCTCCAAGGACCCGTCCCGCCTTGAGAGTTAGCAGCACAGAGCATTGAGTGCTGGGCTTTTAACCAAAGGTTCAGCAGTCTGAATCCAGCAGCCACTCCCTGGAAGACCGCTGAAGCAGCCCTGGTTTCTCAGGCAACAGGCAGTTTCAGCTGTGCCGGTCCCCCCACCCCAGCTGGGGTCAGTGTGGCAGGGAGAGGGGTTTGAAGCCTCTGCTTCAAGTGCGTGGTGATACATTTCCTCCTAAGAAGAATATGCTCCTTCACACCTGTGCCTGCAGTGGGTGGGAGCCATTTAATGGCGGATTTAGCAATGACTATTAAAGAATCTTTGCTAAGTTGACAGATTAAAAAAAAATCTCCTGGTTTTAATTTGCAACTTTTAAAATTACTAGTGGAAGTTAATACTATATTCTTAAAAAAAAAACCCCAAATCAAAACTCTTATTTCTGATCTGGTATGAAAACCAAAAAATGTACATAAAATCTGCAAGTAAACCAGTATAAAATAAAAATTTTATTTAAATAAAATAAACTCTAGACACAAAACTATTTCCTGTTTAAATTTTCCCTTTGCCTATTTAACTGCTGGGCTCTTTATGTTTTAGCTCTTGATATTGAAGGCATTTGTGTTAATAACCCGTAGTCAGACGTGCTGTCACTAGTTTCTCAATTTTTGCTTCTTTTTTGATTATCAAAGCAGCTTTACATTTTTTAAAATTTTTAATTTTTTGTGCATTGTACCGTCAAATCAGATCTGACTGGTACAGGAGGAGATTGTCCCTCCTTCTCCAGCCAAGTATCTGGTGGATTCGAAGCAGGCACATCTAGGATTGCAGTGCAGCTTCTTGCGACTAGGCCACCAGAGCTCCCTTGAAGCAGCTTTACATTTTAATGAACTCAAAGAGAATGACTTTATAGTATCTCGCAATGTTTTCAGATGAGATTCTTATGGGAAGACCCTGCACATTCAAGCCTCTTCCTCTCTCCCTGACAGTAAAGTTCCGTGTTTAACTTTTCGCCCATCTGGATTCCGCACACCAGTGGCCTGGTGTCGTCAACAAAGTCACTGGCACAGCGTGTGCCAGGCTGACAGGAGCCCCAGGAACCGGCATCGGCTCGAGGGCAGCAGGGCTTCGGTGACAAGCTGGAGAATTCAGCAGCAATTTCTCTGAGAAAGAACAAAAAATCACTGAGTTTGCCCCCAGTGTTATGAGCCCGGTGTGATCAAAACACCCAAACACTGACCCGCTGGGCCCCCTCTGCGGGCCAACTCGTGAGTCTCAATTCGGGGTGCTCCAGAGGCTTGGCGGTGAGGAACTGCACAGCCAACCCAAAGGTCCGAGGCTCGAATCCACCTGCTGCTCCATGGGGGGTAATGGGGAAATCTCTTCCTGTGTGATTTACTATCTCTGAAAATTCACTGGAGGGCCGGTTATGTGCTGGTTACACCTCCATGGCTCACAGCAACAACGTCCTCAATTCAGAGCACCTGGGTGGCGCAGATGGCGGCTGCTAATCTTGAGGCTGGCAGTTCAGGACCACTCAGAGGTGCCTCAGAAGAAAAGCCTGGAGATCCCTCTGAATAGTCACAGCTCCTGACAACCTTACAGAGCAGTTCTCCTCCAACACAGGTGGGCTCGCCCTGAGCCCCCAGTGAACCTGTCAGCAGCCAGCAGGGTTCAGGCCAGTGCGGGGCGTGGGGACAGCCGGGGGCGGGGCCGGATGCACAGCCCCACCTTACACCAGTCTCAAGTCCGCCTGGGCTGCAGGCACGCCAGCACATTGCTTAAGGTCCACGCGGGAGCTTCCCCGCACTGAAAGTACGAAATACAACTGTGTTTCCACGCTTTCATTGTATGACTTCACCTGCGGCCGCCGAAACTACCTGAAAATAAATGAACTAAGTTCCGCCCTGGCGATCCATAGGGTGACAGATGTCATAGCCAGATCACATCCAGGAACGATGTAAGTTAGAACAAACATGAAGAAGACGCCTGGATTGATTTAAACATATTCCTTTCAATAAATGGACAATTTCAAAAGTGGTATTTGTTTTTATCCCCTAAGAAACAGACAATTTTCTTTAAAAGCCCATAAAGGTCTTTTTTCTACCTCTTTACTTCTGGAGAAATGACCTGCCTCGCTCTCCAGGATGTGTCTTTTCTAATAAAACTGTCTTTACTTGCATTTTTTTTTAAAAAAACCAACCAAAGGGGAGCTCTGGTGGCCTAGTGGCAAGGAGCTGCAACTACAATCCCAGAGGCACACGGTTCGAATCCACCAGATGCTCTGCCGGGAAAAGGAGGGACAATCTCCTCCTGTACGAGTCAGATCTGATTTGACGGTACACGCACAAGAATTAAAAAAAAAAAAAATGTAAAAAAAAAAACCAACCAAACATACAAAGGAAATAAAAAAATGTCACCTTCAATTCAATTTAATACTGTCTCCGGGTAGGATAAATGATTAACACATTTGTCCACTAGCCAAAAGGCTGGAGGTTTGAATCAGCCCAGTGGCACTTTGGAAGAAAGATGTGACAACCTACTTCTCAAAGCCTAAGACCCTGGCAACCGTCAGGGCTCAGCTTGCCCCTGACATGCACGGGGCTGTGGAATCAGCATCAACTCACTGTCAGGTCTGTTTTTATTTTTAACTAATCTGGGATTTTATGTTGATTTCAATTTTGTATTCTGACCTTCCCACTTTGTATCATTAGCATTTTCCATGTCACTAAACATTTCTTAGAAGTAAAATCTCATGTCTGGAGGATTCTATCCTGAAAACGTCTCCTAATTCAGCACTGCTCCATGAACGGGCCTTCACAAAGCTTCCCATAGACTCTGGAGTCCCAGGAACGCTGCCGTCTGAGTTCCTCCACGGGGCGCCCGGCACAGTGTCTAATGAGATAGACGCCCATGGCCAGCCTGCTGGTCAAACACCACATACTTTACACCTTGACCCACGTCCGGCATTTTCATACCACATCAAGCAGATAAAACACTCTGCTGATTTGACCGCAGTTGGGGGTGGCGTCTAATTTTATCCCATACTGATTGGATCTGTCGTTAGCATGAACCTGTTTCTCCAGTTTACTAGATCCTAGAGCTTCTTTCTAGAGTCGCCGTACAGAGTGGCAGTCCTGTCTTTATAAGCTTGGTCTGCGCCTTCAATTCAGCGTGCACTAATGATAATAATTAGGAGGGAGATTTTCTTTGACCTTGAACCCTTTAATAAAGCCAAGAGAAGTCAGATTTCCTCAGGATCTCTTCCAGTCACGTCACATCTAAGGCAGAGTGTCCTACACACCGGAAGTCTGGGAGAGCAGCTCTGGGCATGCAGACAGCAGCCTCCGGGGGCTGGTTCAGGGGTGACTGGGGCAGGTGAACCACTGGCCCGAGGCATTGCTGTGTACAGGCCACCTCGTTCCACCCAGGAAGAGCGGGACTGGCTACACATCT